ATATTCTCCCCTTTCCTCCCTCCAGGAGTAGCTATATTAGCAAATGCCAAGTAATAAAAAAGAAAAAAACAAAAAACAAACAAAAAAACAACCTCCAGTTTCATTGTGACTGCAGATAAAAATCTGTCAACGTACACACACACACACAAAAACCCCTCTTGTTTTATAAATAGGGTACCCAAATGTCTACTTCTGGGCTTACAGAATATATAGACTATGCTAACAGCTACTAACTTAACCAGGCTTTAGCGCTATCTAAAATCCTCAGATTTAAGAACACACAGCTATTTTATAAGCTTTTAAATTCCTAAACCCAGTTCATTCCACCAAGCTTCCACATCCCTAACATTTTGGTTCCTCCCCTAAAAATGCTGGCCTCTTCTGTAGTCATATATTCTTTCTTGAAGTCTTTTTTTTTTTTTTTTTTTTTTTTCTTCGAGAGAGGGTCTGGCTCTGTTGCCCAGGCAGGAGTGCAGTGGCACAATCTTAGCTCACTACAACCTCTGCATCCTGGGCTCAAGCCAACCTCCCACCTTAGCCTCCCAAGTAGCTGAAACTACAGGTGCACGCCACCATGCCTGGCTAGTTGGTTTGTTTGTTTTTTGTAGAGATGGGGTTTCACCATGTTGCCCAGGCTGGTTTCAAACTCCTGGGCTCAAGCAATCTGCCTGTCTCAGTCTCTCAAAGAGCCAGGATTACAGGCATGGGCCACTGTACCTGGCCACCTTCCTTGGAAATCTTATCCTCATATTTATCTGTTTTATTTCCCCACTGACCTAGCTGATCATTGCCCCTTTCCTAGTCTTTTTCAATAGATTCTTAAACATGTAACTGCCCTATGTGCTCACATAATATTGCCACTACACTTAAGGGATATTTGGCTCTTCCTTGAGGGCATTTCTCTATAGTTAATTATCCTTTACCTCAGTATTATTAGTATTCTCCAGGCTTCTCAATATTGTTTCCAAGTAGTAATCCTTAACTGTCCACTCAGCTGCCTGCTGCAGGTTAATAGCCCCATTCATTGAATTTTTTTGAATCTGGCTCATACTCTAGCTCTTTACCCCAAGCCCTGCCACGAGCTTGAATGGACAGCGTAGGTTGTCGGATAGCTTTTCTGGGTTCCCTGACATTCTAGATTCCACGGCCACACTATGATCCTTGTTATCATCTGCAACTGTTTTATCTCTGAAATTTTAAACTCCAATATTAAACTCTGACTGTGTCTTTACTCCTAGCTTTTTCATTCATTTACACTCATGCATAGATCTGTTTTTCTCATTATGATCTTCATTCCCTTAACACCTTCATTTTCTCCCAGTCTCAAATCTCTCATTACTGACAATATGAACAACCTTTTACAAGTCTGACTCTTTTATATACCCCTGGTTCATCCTCATTGCAGACAAACGAATCTGACTCAAAGTTACTATTTCTCTGGGTTGTTACCCACCACTCCCCCACCACCCCACAGAGTAGTCAGGCAATGCTTGAGTGTAACAACCACACATTCAGGCATATTAGCATTTATTATTTGTCCTTAGTCAACTTCCTCTCCTGCTTCCCTCAGTGACTTTCCCAAACTGGTACCTGTCTCAAAACATTCATCATTCACTGTCCTGTCCTACTCAAACTCCCTACATAAGGAGGCAATCCTGTCTTCTAATTTACAAACAAAATTGAGATTATCAGGCTGGATCTCCTACTTTCTATCACTACCTGAAAACATCTGTATCTATTCTCATCCAGTTTCTTCCAAACTTCAGAGGTATCCTTGTCATACCTCTTAAAGGAACTTGCTTAATCTTTCCTTATCTTCAGTATTTGCAATATGTCCTCTGATGGTCCCTCTGTCTATACAAACATTTTATATCCTAAAAAAAGAAAGAAAGAGAGAAAGAAAAAACCCTCTCCATTTATCCCAGTTTCTTCTAGAAATTACCCAATGTTTCCCACCTCTCTCATGGAAATTTCTTGAAAACGGAGACATTGGCTTTCTCTATTTCATCCCCCACCACTCAGGCCTGAATCTACACAGTTTGTTTCATGACCTACAACTCTACTTAAATTGATCTTCCTAAGGGAAGCAAAGCATCCTACCTGCCAAACCCAAAGAACATTTTTCAGTTCATTTCTTATAACTCTTACCTGTTGAACCTGACAATTTCCCCTCAATTTTGAAAGTATTTACTTCTTTGGCTAATGTAATGCTATGCACTCTTGTTTCTTCTGCCATATCTTCCTGGTCACTTTTCCCTCAGTTTATGTCTATATTATTTTACTCCACCATTTGATATTTTACTCTATGAGAAGTCTGTTGTTATTCTAAAATATGTTTAATTAAATATCATATAGGTCAACAAAATATAAATGTGGAGAAAAAAAGTTTGGTTGTTTCTAGGACACAAAAGCTGTACTTTTAGAAAGATTTAAATAAGTTGCTTTTAAAAAGCAGTTGACAAATTAGGCAACAGCAATAAGACTGTAAAAGGAAAAAAAGAATCTAAAATAATAGGACAAAGTACCTGCTTCTCAAAGGGAATGCCATTGGCATTTGGGGCCAGAATATTCTTCACTGTCCAGGACTGTCCTACCACTGCAGGACGTTTATAATCTCTGGGCTCTACATAGTAAGCATCATAGTGCTGCGCCCTCCATCCTGTTGCTAACAATAAAAAACACCTCTACAGATTTCTAGGGAGGCAGTAGAGAATGTGGTTGAGAATTAATGATACATTTCTTGACAAGTATCTTAACTTCTTGCCTACCTTTGAAGAAGCAAACTATAAAAAATAGAAAATGCATTTCAGATGTAGTTTATACACACAAGACTGAACACCAATAAACAGACATACAAACAGGCAATAAAAAAGTGATGAATTTATATTTATGTAAATGTTAAAGGTATTTATATATTTGTTTTTATTTCCTGCTGCTATGATCAACCAATGGGTCTACTAATCTTTTAATCATACTTTCTGAGAACTATCATAATTATTTGAGACATTTATCTAATAAATAATCCCAAGGCCTACTGTCCTTGTAGTTTTTAAATATTCTGAAGTTACCAACTTAAAAAGAAATTCTAATAAAAGCTCATTATTGAAATAACTCTTTTTCTGTGAATTTCTTTTAAGTTAATTTTGCTAAGGAAATTCTGCCACAGAGAGACCCATGTTATTTAATAATACATTCAAACTTAATTTGAAACTTTAAAAAATGATAAATTCACTATTGACACATACTGAGAATAAGATCTTTTTCTATCAAGTACTGAAATTCTTTAAATTGTACAATCTGAATAACTATTTTTGCAACAAAAGAGAGAGCATATTTTTTTGTAAACAACTGAAAAATACCCAAACTTTTGTGCATTAAAAATATTATGAATCATCTTCTTGATCTTTCTCTTACCTCTATACAAAAATTTTGGCCCCGAAATAAAAGATAAGCTAATTTGTAAAAGCAATTTATATTAGAAAGACTTGTAAATTGAGAAGACCTTCCTCTTTAATAGCTGTAGAGATTTAAGAGCTGTAGAGATGTAAATTTAACACAGAAGGGAAATATTACTAAATTTTTCCACAGGAGACAAATCAGAAATTGTTTAATGACTAAATCACTAAAATCAAAGATCTAAATAATAAAGCAAAAATAACTAAATGTGGAAATATTGACAAAACTATTTGCTGGCTTGGCTTCTCCTAAAGAATTCTAATTACTGCAGATACTTGCATTGTTGTCTTAAATAACAATGAGACTACATCAACAAATATTCTATTTCCAGAAAATGAATTTAATTGCTTTCCTCAAAGTCTTAGGTTAAAAGAAGTCCAAGTGTAGAGACTGATATTTGTAGACAGACTCGGAAATCCCTTCCAGATTTTGAAGTAAATGAAGCATTTGTAGGTTCTTAATTCTTGAATAAAGAAATGAGGCAGGTAAGTTGGCAATGATCAAAAGAAAGTAAACAAAGCTTAAGTTAGCAATGGTTGAAACAAAGTAAACAAAGTGGAAATAAATATAAACAAATTAAAAAATAGAAAAGATTTCATTGCACTCATTTCTTGCATGCAAGTACATTCTTCAGTTTTCATTTATATGAGTGATATATATATATATATAATTATATATGCAATTTTGCTACTTGAGCAAGCTTCCCTTGAGCCAGTTTTAGCTTTTGCTTGGAAGTATGTGACTTGTTCTCTCAGCATGCTTTTAATGTGCCCTTCTGATGGAGATTTATGCTGAGTACTCTTATCACACATTTTTGCATGAACATCTTTTTGTCAAATCACTCTTAGTGGTAAAACATAATAACTCTTCAATGAACTGCAGTGTATTAACAATCCAGGCTAATTTGCATGGTCTGCAAACAACTCAGAAAATAGCAAATGTTGTTGCTATAGCTGTTACTAAAGCTTTAGGCATTGCTACATTTAACTAAAGAATATTTACTTAGAGTATAAAATTACAAATTTATATTATATAATTATACATGCTTAAGTTTCCCTTTTCATTCAATTAATCATAATGGAGATTAATAATTGCTTAAATCAAGTTTTTGCTCATGAGCAGAAATTCTGAGATCAATTAAATCTTTAAAGTAAATGTAATAAACACAAAAAATCTTCATAAATAGTTTGCATTGCCTCCACCTTTTCTCTTAGTATGTGGAAAGGAGGAAAAGAATAAGTATGTATATAGTTTTAAAAAAATATACTTTCTCCAAACTCCTTAATCTACTACTAACCACCTGTATCTTCATGCTACTTTTGCTAGTCATCAGATACATAGCTACCTGTTACTGGGTCTAAAGCAGGGAAGAAAAGTGAATATTTAGTGCTAACAGAGGAATTTCTGTAACAACTACATGCTAGCTTAGGGCTAAAGGACTATGCAACTGGGCCCCTGAAATCAGGATGTTATGTTATATTGCCCAAAGAGGCCATGATTCCAGTATGAATAATGCAAAACATGTCGTCTTTTAGAATACTTACGGTAGCCACATTTTTTACAGCCTGCTCTGACACTGTCCTTGTTGCAACCTGAAATACAATTGGATAGAATTTTAGGAAGTAAAAAAAAATGCAAAAACTTAAAAACTTTATTGTATGAAAAAAGCTAAGAAAAACGGTTTGTTGTAGAATTTCTTTTTTTCTGTTGAGACAAGGTCTCACTCTGTCACCAAGGCTAGAGTACACTGACAGGATCACAGCTCACTACAAGCCTCCAGCTCCCAGCTCAGGCGAGCCTCCTACCTTAGTCTCCCAAGCAGCTGAGACTACACGCATGTGCCACCACACCTGGCTAACTTAAAAAAATTTTTTTTTTTTGTAAAGATGAGGTTGTGCTTTGTTGCCCAGGCTGATCTCAAACTTCTGGCTTCAAGCGATCCTCCTCTGGCCTCTCAAGGTGCTGGGATTGTAGGTAAGAGCCACTGCACCCAAAAGAATTTATTTATTTAAGAAACAGCAACAACAAAAAAATCATCTCTAACCCAGCTTAATGACCTACTCAATTATATGATTCTTATAAATCAACACAATGGCCAATTTACTCAAATCATTAAGATTTTTTTCTAATTCAATATAATAAGACAAACACACATGGCCAATAAACATAAAAAATGCTCCACATTACTAATCATAGAGAAATGCAAATGAAAACCACAACGAGATACCATTTCACACCAGTCAGAATAGCTATTATTAAAAAGTCAAAAAACAACAGATATTAGTGAGGCTGTGGAGAAAAGGTAATGCTTATAGACTGTTGGTGGGAATGTAAATTAATTCAGTCACTGTAGAAAGCAGTTTGGAGATTTCTTAAAGAACTGAAAATAGAACTATCATTCGACCCAGCAATTCCATTACTGAGTATATATCCAAAAAAAAAAAAAAAAATTCATTTCACCAAAAAGAAACATGCACTCACATCTTCATTGCAGCATTATTTACAATAGCAAAGACATGGAATCAACTGAGGTGCCCATCAATGGTGGATTAAAGAAAATGTAGTACATATACAGTATGGAATACTATGCAACCATTTAAAAGAACAAAATTACATCCTTTGCAGCAACATGGATGCAGCTGGAAGCCATTATCCTAAGTTAAGAATTAACACAGGAACAGAAAACCAAATACCACAAGTTCTCATTTATAAGTGGGAGCTGAAACATTGGGGACTCATAGACATGAAGATGACAATAACAGATACTGGGGACCACTGGGAGGGGAGGACAAAGGTTGAAAAATTGTTGGGTACTATGCTCAGTACCTGGGTGATGGGATCATTTGTACCCCAAACCTATTATGCAATATATCCAGATAACAAACCTGCACAAGTATCCACTGTATCTAAAATAAAATTTGAAAAATAAAAGAAAGTTAAAAAAAAAAATCTAGTAAACAGTTAAGAGTTTAAACATTCCAGGAATTCTACAGCACTGAGGAAGAAATTCCAGGGTACTCTGGCCTGTCCCTCAAATGTAAACTAATTTACTTATTATTTTATATATATATACATGGACATTTACTTTTATATATATATATGGACATTAAGGTTAACAAATATTTTCCTGTTTTCCATTAGAAGAAAAAAACATCTAATTTCTTATAGGAATTGGTGAAATTCCAGAAGACTTACTGTAATTGCTAGGTATTACAAGAAATACCTAAATTCAACACTCAAATTTTGACAAGAGAAAAACTAGTCATATACCCATCCAGTTCTGATAAATATTTACAAATACAGTAATCCTGTATAATTAGTAGCACATGCAGGCAATGCTGAAGATATAAATACCAGAGACAAATTAAAACTGATTTCTTTTTATTGTGATAAAATATAAACAACATACAATTTACTATCTTAACCATTTTAAAGTATACAATTTAGGTGTATTAAGTACATTCACAATGCTGTACAACCATCATCACTATTCATTTCTAAAACTCTTTCATCATCCCAAACACTAACTGTATTCATTAAACAACTGACTATTCCCCCTTCCCTCTAACCCCTAGTAATCTCTATTCTACTTTCTGTCTCTATGAGTTTGTCTCTTCTAGGTTCTTCATACATAGGGAAATCATACAATACTTGTCTTTGGGGCCTGGATTATTTTACTTAGCAGAATGTTTTCAAAGTTCATCCATATTATAGCATGTATTAGAGTTTTATTCCCTTTTATGGCTGAATAATATTCTATTGTATGCATATATAGTTAAAACTAATTTTATCCTCCAATAGTGGCTTCAATCAACCAATGAAAGCCCCAGTATAGTATTATGTCATTTCCTGATTTTTTTTTTTTTTTTTTTTTTTTTGAGACAGAGTCCCGCTCTGTCGCCCAGGCTAGAGTGCAGTGGCACGCAACCTGGGCTCACTGCAAGCTCCACCTCCTGGGTTCACGCCATTCTCATACCTCAGTCTCCTGAGTAGCTGTCACTACAGGTGCCCGCCACCACGCCCAGCTAATGTTTTGTATTTTTAGTAGAGATGGGGTTTCACCGTGTTAGCCAGGATGGTCTTGATCTCCTGACGTCGTGATCTGCCCACCTCGGCCTCCCAAAGTGCTGGGATTACAGGTATTATTCCATTTTCTTGGTAAAGGGCATATAATTTCCAAACCCTTGAAATGGAGATATAATCCTAACTAAATATTTAAATACATACAGTCCAAACATAAAAGTGTTAATTTAAAAATAAATATAATTTTAAAACTATTTCTTTGGTGTTATGAAGTTAAAAATTAGTTATTTTCCCCTTAAATTTTAATATTGTTTTAAAGTATACATTATTGAGGTGGGGCATCATGGCTTACACCTGTAATCCCAGCAGTTTGAGAAGATTCCTTGAGGCCAGAAATTTGGGGCCAGCCTGGGCAACATAACGAGACCACATCTCTACAAATTTTTTTTTAATTAGCTGATCATGGCATGTGTTTTAGTCTTAGCTACCTGGGCGGCTAAGGTAGGAGGATCACTTGAGCCCAGGAATTCACGGTTATAGTGAGCTATGACTGCACCACTGCACTCCAGCCTAGCTGACAGAGGGAGACCCTGTCTCTAATTATTCTAGTAAAAGTACAGTCTCTTCTACTATAATACTTGTTTTAAAAATGCAAATATTGCTCTAATGTAATTGATACATTAGGGAAACATTTGAGCATAATGTGACTTTCATCCACACAAAACACTAAGTAAATGCAGAGCATTGCATCTAGCTGATCTGAACCACACAGGAGTATACAAAATACACAAGCACATATATCTCAAAACATTTCTAGTGACCTCAGTTCACCAAAAATGTTGAGAACATCCATTCACATCTGGCGTTACAACTTTTTATGGATTTCTTATTGCCCTCTTACTGCCACTTCATAACTCATAAACTGCAACTCTTCTGAAGTTCACTTGCACAGCAAACTCCAGGTCTTTTAAAAGGTAAAGTGTCATATTTATTGTAATATTTATGCATTTTTTTAACCAATTAACATGTGTAAAACTGTGCTACTGTTTCTATGAGATTCCTATCTCTTTTTTTTTTTGAGACAGAGTCTCGCTCTGTTGCCCAGGCTGGAGTGCAGTGGCGTGATCTCAGCTCACTGCAAGCTCAGCCTCCCGGGTTTACACCATTCTCCTGCCTCAGCCTCCTGAGTAGCTGGGACTACAGGTGCCCGCCACCATGCCTGGCTAATTTTTCTGTATTTTTTTTTTTTTTAGTAGAGATGGAGTTTCACCGTGTTACCCAGAATAGTCTTGATCTCCTGACCTTGTAATCCGCCTGCCTTGGCCTCCCAAAGTGCTGGGATTACAGGCGTGAGCCACCGCTCCCGGCCCCCCCGCTTTTTTTTTTTTTTTAAGACCGAGTCTTGCTGTATCGCCCAGGCTGGAGTGCAGTGGAGTGATCTCAGCAAACTGCAACCTCTGCCTCCCGGGTTTAATTGATTCTCGTGCCTCAGCCTCCTGAGTAGCTGGGATTGCTGCCACACTCGGCTAATTTTTGTATTTTTAGTAGAGATGGGGTTTCACCGTGTTGGTTCCTATCTTTTTTTAATGTGTCATTGAAGCTTTTGTGCATTGTGCTCTAATCCCATTGTTTCCCCGTAAACCCTGTCATAGTTAAAAACAAATATGTTACATTGTAGCAGTATTGACTGGAATAAAATCAGATGAATAATATAATCTGAGGGTCTTTCATTATGAATACAACTGCATGTTGAAAAAAAGCTCAAGAGAACTGGAGTCAGTGTTAAATCTGTTTCCACAGAAACTGTAGATGCTAAAACAATTGAATAAAATTATGTTAAATGCATCATTACTATTACTACAACAGAATAAAAATGTTCTAATAGACAGATCTGAAATAATCTTATCTCAGCATGCATTAGAATTGAACTCATGACAAAAGGCACTGATAAAACTCATCATTCAAGTATCCCATAGTTTTAGAATAAACAAACTATGAAACTTTTTCTTGGCAGGTCATCTTCTTTCCTAAAGTTGAAACTTCTACATGACAGGGAAATATAACCAGAATTCTAAATAAAGTACTTTATATCAGCTAGTTCCTCACCAGTCTTTGGTTAAATTATTATTTCAGCTTCATTAGTCTTTACTTTTCATGATTGGGCAACTGAATGCTTCTACCCAAGAGTTTGAATCTGAGGCAACTGACTTAGTAGATCTGAGACAAGCAACACAATGAAGTGGGGACAGTTAATTCATTCTGCTGTCAGGATCCAGTTTCCGGGGGCACTGATATCACTGGCAGTAGCAGCCCTAACTAGGTCTGGGCTTGTGCAGGATCTTGGATATGGGTTCCCTGGGTCATTTCTATTTTCTGACCCTTATTATGCAGGCTTTGCCTAGATTCAGTGAGCTACCTGGTATTTTTCCTTTTCTGCTTAACTAGTCAGTTTCTATTGTTTGGAATAAGGACCCTAGCTGATATAATGGCACTCAAAATCCATGTCAAACTGACTATAGTAGGGCTATACTGTGAGGCCCTTACTCAGCTAAGTTACCTACTTCCCTGC